AAAAAAAACTTGACAATTTTTCTCGTCATGAGCTAAAAAAACGAGCGAAGGTGAGCAGTTGAAAGGTCGGTTCAACTTGCGGAATAGCCGAGCGGTGAACTGCTCCTGGCACACGGTCATGTGTTCGATCTGCACCTGTGTTGTCTTTTTAGCAGGCCGGCCAGCGGCACCTGATCTTACAGATCGGTTAATCCAGGCTCCACGGGGACACCTCCTTGTGTCCACTGCTGCCGACATGGATGCAGGGGTAGAGTCCCACGGAAAACTCTGGACCCATCAGGTCCTGGTCCGACCCCCCCACAGTGGTCACCTCGTGGGATCCACGGGCAAAAAGGGTGTTGGACCACGTCGAACCTGCACCCCCAGGTGTAGGAAATAAACAAAATTGATGAGAAAGAAAATAGTTCGCAATGTTGTTAAATCCATACTCCTTACAGCAAGCCCGTCTGGGCACACACCAAAGTTTGGTCAAAAAAGGCCAAGCGCGCTGGGCCAATCCCAGAGCCCCTTTGGCCGATCCCAAAGCGTGCGTGGCACCATCCCAACCCCCGCTTGGCACATGCTAAAGATGGCGGGGGTCAGGAGAAAGCCTTGCTTGGCCGAAATCAAGCAAGGGTGTCAGGCCCGCTAACATAACATGCCAGCCCCCGAGAAGGCCATCTGCTGAGTTGGGGTCCAGTGCCAGGCTGGTGCACAGGCTACCAATTGGCCCAGGGCTTGAAATTGGCCCAGCGGGACTTGGCTATGTGCCAAGTCCTGCCCCCCGCCCATCCTGTCCGATCAAGCCCTCTGGGCACAATCTAAACCCCTGGTGGCACTCGGCCACGCGGGACTTGAGATTGTGCCCAGACGGGCTTGCAAGACCATAAATATGTGGGCCAGCATCTCAATCGACGTAGATGATTCTGCAGAAATCGTCGACCGGTGGCATCTCTGCAGAAAGAGAATCTCAAGGAAGAGTAAGTTTAAGGAAGAGCAACCAAGAGGTCGCTGAAATCATCGACCTTTTGTTTGAATGGAGTGTTCTGAAGATATCTGACTGGTGATCGATTCGTGGATATCACCGATCGCGGTCCGACTACAGGTGAAGACGACGACAGCTTGGGCTTTGCCGCTGACAATCGTAGTCCTACTGCACAAGATATTGACCATATCTTGCTTGACGGCACCCGACAGGTTCACGGTCTCGGTAGATTTTGTGACACAGTGAGATTCACCAGTGAGGACGGCTTGATCGACGGTAAAGGAGGCTGAGGAGATCGAGATGACCCGGGCATCAGCAGGCAGGCACTTTGTCATCAACGGAGACAGTGATGTATTTACTCCTGAGCGCGCAATGTGAAGAATTGAGAATTGAATTACAAATTTACTACACTGTTTTTTTTGTTGTGGTTTTTTTTTTCAAAAGACAGTAGGGCGAAGAGGAAGGAACGGAGAGAGAAAACACAAAAACGGCCAAGAGTTAATCAGAGAAAACGAACAATTATTCAAGACATTAGTAGGACAAACACTAGTAGTAGGACAAACACTAGTAGTAGGACAAAAACTAGTAGCAAGACAAACACTAGTTGGGTAGAGTGGCAACAATGAACTAGCTGACAAAGAGGAATTTGCTTCAAGCAGTGGTTTGCTTGAAGTTATACCGGGGAAGGGGAAGTTGGACGATTTCTTTGGGCAAGCTTTTATCAGCGCCGGGTAAGAAGGAAGAGGAGAGTTTACGGGCAGCAGGGAAGCTACCTAAGAGGATAGGGAAATGTTCAGGGTTTGAATGGATTGGAGTGCCATCAAAGGAGTTTGTGAGGTTGGAAGAATCGAAGCTTTCGCCGTGGTCGAACAAGTCATCGAAGTTCTCAAGGTTGGCATGCGCGTTGATGATCTTTTGCAGCTCGTTAGAGGCTTCAGCGGGGCTCATTTTGGTCGAAGAGAACGGCTTGACCATCAATTGGCCGGATGGTGACCGGTATGGGCGAAACCCCGGGACAGCCGGTTGTCGACCCGTATGGTTCCCAGTTAAAAGTGCTTTGGGAAGCGAGGATAAGAGATCGGGACTGCTTCTCGCAGGTGGGAATTGATTTGGCGAGTTTAACATATAGTCAACTGGAGATCAGGTCAGACGGGGTTAGTATTGGTGGTACATTTTTCATTAAAAAGAAGCATTATCAAGCGGATGTTGAAGCAGAGAACGAACATTCTGAGCCGTCCCATCCTTTGGTACTTCCATAGACGTCGGTTAGACACACGATGGTATCTTTCTTGTATTGATTCAGTTCTTTTTGACTTGGAAGTTGCGAGGTGACCATTGGACCGAAATCCAAGTCTTCATAGAGCAGCTTGGGTTGAGCCTTGGCGTCATAGGTGATGACGGAGTGCCGGTAAACGCTCTCCATGCCGCCAGCCATCTCGCGAGTGGTGCCCCATTCTTTTTCAGAAGCTTGGGACATCGAGAATGATGCCTTTCGGCTACGACCTGATTGAGATGAAATTCACGAAAGATGATCAAGTCAGCTTCAGCTTGCTTGGAACATAAAAGAGGTTTGACTGACGTCTGTTGCGCTTTTGAACACATGACCACATCGCAAATCCCGCCAATATCACTGCTAAAGCGATCCCTGCGATGATGATATAAATCACGGGCTGAGGTAGGACGGTTTCGCCAGAATCATCATGGTGACTAGAGTGGGAGCTTGCTCCAAGAGCAAGTTTGCTTGTGTTGTTGAGGGAGGTGGCGTCACTGCTTAAAGAAAGAAAAATGTTTAAGAAAGATGTGGCTAGACATGTTTTCAATGAAATTCTGACTTACGCAGAGATATGCTGTTTGGAGGCCGCATGTGGAGCAACGGACTTGATGGCTGCGCCATTTTGGGTAATTGAGGTATAAACCGATGGTTGGACGTTGGAGCTTGGTGCAGGGCTCTTCTTGACTTGGGGTAAAGCGGTCGGGGTAGGGTTGCGCGAAAGGGGAGACGGGTCGGCTGGCTAGATCAGGCTGAACAAAGACAGGAACAGCGGGTTCAACGGATTTCG